AAATGTAGTCGTAAGGCTATGTTGAGTCCTTCAATATGTGGTGTACACACGTGTGCATGTTTGTCTATGTACATGTGTGTTAAATTTTCCCTAAGGAGAAAAAGGAAATGATTTGTGGTATTAGTGGTCAATTTGTTTAAAATGAAGGTAGGTTCTAATTAAAAAAAAATTATGATAAACCTTTTGTTTCAGTGAAAGGAGGATCATAACTTAGATTAGAGTCTCTTAAACCCCATACACATTAGTATCTGCTTGGGTAGAGCATGGCATCTCCAAGAAGAAAGGGCTCTTTCCCCTGGCCCTGGATGGGCAGATGGCTTTGGGAGTATCTCTCCAGGCCCAGGCTTCTGGCTGTTTCCATATCCTTTACCCTTCTGGCCTACCTGTTCTGGAAAGCGGATACTTGGCCTCCCCAGGTGCTGGCAGTTCCGACTTCGCTCCACACTGGCCAGCATTCTGCTTTTCTAGCAACAGATGTTTCTGCAAAGTAAATATTATTGACTCTGCTTGGCTCCTTGCTGTATCTTGCACTGCCTGTGCACGCACCAGCGGGGTTATATGAGCAGGGTGCCACGAAGCTTGGCACAGCACCAGGACCAGCCTCTCCTCTTTTCCTTCTTGTCTTACTGGAATGTACATGTGAGATTCCAGTGTGCATCAGAGGGAAAGCTCCTGAAATGAGTCTTTGGGGACCTGGATATCCAAGGTGATAATCTGTGTAAGACACCACTGATCCTATTGGGTTGAAAATAGGCAAGAAGCAATAGCTTTGGGGTAGAAAGTTCCCTTTCTATGTGCTTCTCATTCTTCCAAGTAACACAGAGGGGTTTGTCTTAATAGGGTGAGGCAGCACGGTCTTCCCACATGCTATAGGGATCTCAGTTCACAGCACTAGGTCAAATCACAGATCCCCTCCTTAGTGGTTTGTGCTTTTATGTTAGTCCTTTAACTTCTCTGGACTCCAAACACTGGCATTCATGCTTCCCTTTCCTGAGTCCTGTTGCTGGAGGGTTCATATGTGAGGAAAGAATAGCCCTCTTTTGCATAGAACTGAACCTCTCAATATGCAGGGTGCTTATACAGTGGGTCTCGCTGGTTTCTCCTCCCTAATACACAGGCTGATGACTTCTGTCAGGTGAGATACAGCTAGACTTCATGACTAACCCAGGGTTAGTTACATATCCCACAAGTGCTGGAGCTTGAACCCCCGAGCCCACTGGGGCTGGGGTGATCGGCCTGTAACACATAGAATACAACTGGGGAAAGGACGTTTTCCAAAACAAGTTTGAAATGCGACCCCAAAGATGGAGGAATGGATTTTGACCAAGCAAAATGGCAGGGATCCACTGTAGCTTTACTGTAAAGATTCCTCTGTTAAGCCCCCGGTGAGTTACTTTTCAGGTTCAGTCACTGGGGTTCTTCTCCATCCAGCTGTCATTATTACCTAATCTCCATGGGGGATTGGCTTCTCCCCCAGCATCACCGGGTCCATGTTGCTTCTCAGGTTTGCACGGTGCCAGGGTGTGATCAGTGCCTTCGGACAATGAATTCCGGTCCCCATCTGGCCATAAGCTAACAGGTGTGCCCTGGTTAAATGAGTCCTCCTGTGCAGACACTCCACAAAGGCCCTGTTGTGTGTTACTAGCCACTCCCTGACCCTTACTGACAGCTGCCCTGGCACGGTGGCTTCTTCGGTGTTCATGGGAGCTTTCCCAGCCTGGCTTACATTCCACCTGTTTTCCACTTTTTGAGGTGATTGTCCAGCTTGAATCTTTCTTGCTTTCTGGGGAGGCACAGGAAGGTTTTCAGGTGGGTGGAGAAGCACACCTGTTGTTGCTCTTTGTTCAGGCCTGTCTGAGTGAGTTCTGATGGGGGGAACAGAACTGAAATAAGGATGTGTACAACCTTGCCCACATTCAGTGCCCACACTGGGGCTCCTAGAGGGCTTTGTCTTCCACTCTCAAATATTATTCTCTGCCTTTTTTCTCTTGCTTCCCTATGGCCTCCTTTTCCTTCCTCCCCATAGTGTTCTGACTTTTGGATGCATCTGTTTCTTTCTTGACTTGCCAAGGAATGATTTGTGTTCTGAACGGTAGCCCCAGCCTGGGTTGGCCAGTTCTGATAGATGTCTGAGTCCTCTGCCAGCATCTTTTGACTTTTTGGCAAGGACCATTCCATGAACCAGAGAGTGACTGGAGATGGCTGGCTCCTCTGTTCTTCTCTACCTCAAGTGCCTTCCTCTTCTGGTTTGGAGCAGAGCGCTTTGTACAAGCCACTGTAGCTTGCAACCATGTCACCTACGCCTGCAGGAGGGCAGTCCCAGAGCAGGACTGAGCACGTGGCACGAGCCTGGCTTTTCCACTAGCAGCTATGGTTCACAGTCAACCCTAGGGTTTGGATTTATATACCATGCCCCTCATGTGCATTTATTCAGCACATACTGAGTAGGATGCACTGCCAGGTATGTGGGGAGGGAACAAACCAAACAAAATCAGAAGATGAAAAATGTAACTCCTAACCTCAAAGGGCAAACGTGGAAGCTGAGAAAGAGAATGACTGGGGTTATGGATCGTTTCACTCCAGTAGGTGATGTTGCTCTGTGAAGCCATAATATGCCCCTTCCCTCACCCACGTCTTATTAAAGCTAGGCCCTGCTGCCAGTTATGCCTCCTATTTTCCTCCTCGGGGAATTTGGACATAATGCCATTTCCCCTTCAATGAGGGAAACATGTATGAGGGTAATTTGAATGATTAGCCTAATCGGCAGGAAGGCTGCTCATGGAATTAAGTTAAGCACATTTGTACTGAGCAGCCAGATCTGTCAGTCCACTTAAAGGTACCTTGGTGGTTTTTATACCCTTAAAGAGGCTGAAGACTCAGGAAGGATCGTTGACTTTTATTGCTGTCTTAAGTGAAAGCTTTTTTTTTTTTAATTTGACAGAGGCCTCTGAAAGTTTTTGTTATGGGCACTATGCATGGACTGTGTTTTTACCCCAATACAGCATGTTGCTAGGTGTTCTCCTGGTGGTGTTGGATGTAGCTCCCCCTGGAATATGGTTCAGGTGGGACATTGTCACGTTGGCCTCTCTGCTTGGAAGGAGACCAGAGAGGGTTCAGAGAATGCTTGCTGGGTTCTCTTGTACCATGGAGATGAGGCAGCTCCCAGCCCTTCCTTTCAGCTTTCCACAGGCTCTGTCCCTAATGAAAGTCTGTGTTGTAGATTGGATTTGGGGGCAGTGACACTGACCATGTGGAGGACCTCCAGGCTGTGGGTATTGATGTTGGCTCTGACCTCGGGTTTCTCCCTGACCTCTTCAGACAAGTGGATTCCCATGTGTCAAATGGAGGTGACAGGACTTATGTGTCTTGAGGAGGTAGAGATGGAATTGTTAAAGCAAATATAACAAAAATATTAACTTCTAAGGCAAGTCAATTCTTTGTGCTATAAACAAGTATTTATTGTTTTGAATTTACGTTCCTTTGTGCTTTGACATGGACATAGTAACAAATCCACTTGCTGCCATGTAACCAAAAGGGTGAACAAATTAGAAAGCCAGTTTACTTTTAGTGATCCTAATTTTTGCTTTCTTTTTCTTGGTAGATTTGTCTTCAGCAAAGCGGAAGTTTGCGGATTCCTTAAATGAATTTAAATTTCAGTGTATAGGAGATGCAGAGACAGATGATGAGATGTGCATAGGTAAGTCATAACTGCACGGAAGATCACAACCTTCATTGGTGGTTATGGTTCTCAGTGTCCTCTCAGAGCCTTTTTCCTGGGGTAGGAGGTCAAGGTTAGTAAAGAAAGAAGGCCATAGTGCCAGTAGAGAAGCAGAGATACGTGAGGACCGGGGATTGGGGCCTCTCTAGTCTCCTGCACAACTTCTGGGATTGCTTCACTCAACCCTCCAGTGTGTGTGCAGGAGCAAGGCTGTCCTCTCTATCTTCCTTTCCTGTTCTTCTGGTTGGTTTTGTGGTGTTCTTTCCTCCAGTTACACTAAGAGGTTAGTACAAAACTACAAGCAGGTAGATGAAGGGAAAATCGGATCATTGGTTACAAAATGATAGTCCATAGGTTGAGATCAGAGTGCAGCCCTGTTTTGTTCAGCTGAGATCAGAGTGCAGCCCTGTTTTGTTCAGCTCTCATTTATTTGAATTACCATGTAAATTGAATTTATGTAAAATTCCAGTTTTCTAGCTTATTTGAATAATAATCCAATCTACCGGCCCCACATTCTGGCCCGGCAATAGTTGGCCCAGCTGTATTGTTGCCACTGCCTTCAGTGGCAGGAGAGGAGCTCACTGTCCAGTTCACTGTGGTCTTCTCTTTCCCCCTTTGTTTCCTTAACAAGAGTCTGAAGTGGGTTAACAGTTGTCACCATTCTGTGCTCACTCTTCATTGTCACCGGTTTCTGTCTGCCGGCAGCCCTGAGTATGGAAGATTTGCACTGTCAAGACACTTTCCTTTGCCAGGGCCTTGCCATTGCCCCGACTCTTCTTTCATAGGGCATCTTGGTTGATTCTACGTAATGAGAAAGAATTGAGAAAGTTTATTGACTTAATTAACAGGCAGTTGGGAGACAGCTAAGAGTGGTGAAAACCATCCTTGTTGTAGCCCATGGATGCTTTCCCCAACATTGCACAAGGGTCCCAGCTATACTCAGGGCTACTACACTTCATGCTTGCTGCCTTTGTGAATAATTCTGACAAGAAGCCTCCATGTCTGATCCCCATGCTGCAAGCTGCATGCAGTTAATGAGTGACTTGAAGGCTCAGGAGGAGGAACCCAGCGAGAATCTAGAGATGTGACTTCCAATGCCAGCAGCACTGTTTGTTTAGTTCTGGTGCCAAAGAAAAGGCTGGGTTCTGACGCAACCCCAGGACAAAGGTTGAGGAGGTCGAATCCTGGACAGGAAATCCTTCAATTCCTAAGCGGAACTTTACCCCTTCCAGCCTGGGGCCTGGGAGCCTGCCAGCATCTCACCAGTCCTGGGTATTCTCAAGAACTGGCAAGTCTTTTCCTTGAAGAAAACCTTCCCTAGCTAGAGTGTCAGGTGGAATTAACCTGCATTTCTGGGTCACCCTTAATGGTTAATGATTAAAAGATAAGGGGAGCCTTGGGAAGCAATTGATGTTAGGCGTCTGTATGTGCCAAGTAATTTAAATCCATAACATAACAGCTAGAGCTGGGAAGGCTTCCCAGAGCTCATTGCCTTCTACCTCATCACTCCTTTCTCTTTTCCAGCAAGGTCTTTGCAGGAGTTTGCCACTGTCCTCAGGAATCTTGAAGATGAACGGATACGGATGGTGAGTATGGCCGGGCTGCTCTTGCTCTGGGCCAGCCTGTTCACATTGAGGGCACAAGGGCTTTTTGTCAGAAGGACTGGGTTTTAGCGCAGACTCTACCACTTGAGTGCTTTGACCTCTTAGCAAGCCTCATCTTTTTAGACTTTGAAGACTTTTGTAAATGTTAAAGGATTTCTCTGGTGGATAGCTTTAGGATAATGTTGTTTTCCTCCTAAAGATTCAGTGTAAGGTCTATACATATGACCACACTGAAGGGTGGCTCTTTTGAATTATTTCACTTTTGGGGTCTTCAAATTTTGTACCAGCAGAATGGGGAAGAAGGTGCCCCCTCTGCTCCCTCCTTTCCCTACCTTACTAAATCTGTCCAAGAGCCCCTGAAGACAGGGGTCTCTTCTTCACCTTTGACTCTGAATTACCTCATGCGATGCCTGCTGTGTCATTGGCATCCAGGAGACAGTACTTGGTAAATGTAGGTAACTACGCAAAGAGAGCCCTGTGCAAATTCAGGAATCAAATGCTGATCTCCAGGTTCTCAAGAGGTATCTTATGCACTAGGATGTATTCTGATATGGTTCAGCATTAAAAGATGAGGGATTCCACATCCGCAGGAAGTTCCTTTGCATCTTCTCCCATAACCTTAAGCTATCAGGACTGAGGCTGGATTTGAAATCCCCTCCTGGCTACACACTCCTTTGCCCCTAGGAGGGCATGTCTTCAGATGGCAGTGCTCCAAAGGCCTAGGGAAGATTCCATCAGTGAGCATTTCCTTCTCTTCCCATACAACAGTTGACAATTTGAGCACTGAGTTTACCAAGATGTTTCATACCAAGTACTTCACATGCGTTTTCAGTTTCAACCCACATGGTGACTCTGTGAAGTGGTATCTGTATTATCCCCATTTTTCAGATGAAGATCCTGAAGTTTATTTACAGAGAATAAGTAACTTGTCCAGGATTGCATAGTTAGTAAGTAGTTCAGTCTGGATTCAAACCCAAGTCTGCATTATACTCTCCAAATGTGGTAATTTCTTTAAAATGCCAGAGCAATAGCCTCTCACCTGCTGCCTTGCAGAGAGACCCTGTTTTTTCTGATTGCTCATTGCTGGGAGTCTGAACCAAAATCAGGAGGGTGGTGACAGCAGCATCAGGGTTGATGGTGGGTGGGAGCAGGGGAGAGCTTGTGTGTTTGTGCACGTGCTAGTGCCTGAGAAAGGGAAATGGTTCTTTTGAGTCTGATTCTTGGCTGAGTTAGTACTTGGGGGCGGGGGGTGTGGTGAGCAAATCACTGCGAATACCCTGCAGATTGCTGTGGCCTGTGTTACGGGAACAATGACCGGATTATACTTTTCAGCTTGCCTCTGCAATTTTATTATTAATGCCAGTGAATCAAGTTCCTGCTGTCTACATCTGAGTCTCTGGCCATCATGAGCCCCTTCTCTACCTCCTTGCCTGGTGTCAGCTTCATTATCATTTCATATGAGCAAAGCTACACCTTCTTTGGGCAGCCTTCCCTGACTGCCTGGTCATTCTCTGTATGTTCTGATTCTGCATTGACCATATTGTGTCCAGACAGTTACTCTCCCTGTCTGTGTTCCGTAGTAAATATGAGTTCCTCAGGGGTAGAGTCTGGGCTTCAGTGTCCCCGTCATTAAACACAGTGTTGGAACTGAGTGGAAGTTCCATCATCATAGAATCTTAGGTCCAGCAGGCCCTTATTCTTCACTGTCTGCCATTCCTCATTTGACAGATAAGAAAACAGGTCTTATCAAGGTTGACAGCAGGTAGTAATAGGACTGGGACAGGGACTTGGGTGTCCTGATTTCCAGAGAGGCACCTGAGTGCTTTTGTATGTATTTTAAACACCTGTGTAGGACTGGATTCCAACTGGAATGAATGCCAACTGGAATAACTTGGGGAATTGAGAAAATATTGATGTCTGAGACTAAGTTCAGAGATTCTGAATTTATTGGTTTGGCATGTGGCCTGGACACTGGACTTTTTAAAAGCTTTCCAGGTGGCTTGGCATGGTGGCTCACGCCTATAATCCTAGCACTCCGGGCAGCTGAGACAGGTGGATTGCTTGAGTGCAGAAGTTCAAGACCAGCCTGAGTAAGAGTGAGACCCCATCTCTACCAAAAATAGAAAAACTAGCCAGATGTTGTGGTAGGCTCCTGTAGTCCCAGCTACTCAGGAAGCTGCAGCAAGAAGATCGCTTGAGCCCAAGAGTTTGAGGTTGTTGTGAGTTACGATGAAGCCACAGGACTCAACCCAGAGCAACTGAGTGAGAAAAGGTTCCCCATGTGATTGTAACATGGAGCCAAGCTTGAGGACCACTGATTCAGGGGCTCGACACACCCTTGTGAGCTTCAGAGATTTGCAGGGGATTTGTGGACAAGACTTAAGTGAACCAATTAAACAATATCAAGTAACAGTAAAAATCAAGCAAGTTAAATAACATCACAATGCTCCAGTGTTAAAATGCACTCTTTTGAAATGAGTGACCTCAAAATTGAGAGAAAGGTAAATGGGAATACATTTGGAGATTTGACTTTTTCTGTCCCTTCCATTGTCTGGTAGCTTCTGTACCATGTCTATCTATGGCTTTTGGCATTTACTCTGTTGGCTTCATTGCACTGGACATGCACATGACTTAGGAAAGATAATGCTTTGTTGCAAGGGGATTCCTGAAATAATTAGTTGAGCAAAGAGTGGGTAAATGAATGACTTAAGTGAAAAGATTGTAAAATATTGCACTGTCTTAGAAAGAACTGTAGAATCTTAGAACTGGAATAATTCAGCCCACTCATTCTTCAGATGACGAAATTAGAGCCCAGAGAGGTTAAATGTTTTGCCCATGGTGACACAGTTGGCAGCCAGTCAGGAAATAATCCATTTATTCATTTAGTCATTCAAAAATGTTTGAGTGCTCCTTTGTCTCAGCATTCCTTTGTGTTTGGGGATAGTGGTAAGAAGTGAGCATTTACATGACGTGTGTATGTATGCAAGTGTGTTTATATAAATGTGTGTAGCAGTGAACTGCAGCTCTTTGGCTTGCACACTTGTTCTGAAGAAAACTATGTGTGTGGGAGGAAGCATCTTAGATCGCATCGGTGGTTGGGGAGGGCCTCCCCAAAGAGATGGCCTTTAAGCAGAAAGCTTAATTACTATAAGGATTTGGGAATAGAGTGTCTGAGGGACTTATCAAAGGCAAAGAGCTGAGATGGGACGAGTATGGTGCATTGGAAGTGCATGGGGTGCTGGTGGGTTGGAGTGCAGAATTCAGGGAATCCTCTGAGATGAAGTTGAGACTGGTCAGGAGGCACAGATTTCTTGGTCTAGGTCAGTTCTGGCAGGGCAGCAGCAAATGGGGAACAGTTTTCATGCTACCACATGTCCAGAGGTGTTTTTGTTTTTAACCTAGACTCAGTATTGATCTACTTTCCGTATAACTTGTGTGAATGAACATTTACAGGATGTCACTTGAAGCTTGAAACTTAGCCCCTACTCTGTGGCCAGTTTCCTCTGTCTTCAGACAGCTGCTTACAGTTGTAGAAGTCCTCACTGTTCTTAAAGAGTCAGTATGAATCATGCACAGGAGGAAGATTATGTTTTGAACTGGTAGTTAGATGTTGATGTGACATGTTATCAGTTCAAGTATGAACAGTAGTCATGTACAATATCACTTAATCAAATTTTATACTGAGACATGAGGTGGCATCTTATGATGGAGCTGCTACAATTCTTTACTGACATTGCCTTTATGGGTTTTTTTCCCCTTCTCTGTTTTTATTCATCAGATTGAAAATGCCAGCGAGGTGCTCATCACTCCCTTGGAGAAGTTTCGAAAGGAGCAAATTGGGGCTGCCAAGGTGAGAATTTCACAAGCCATGTTCTTGGATTTTAGGACAAGAGGTCTAGAATATACATCGCTTTCTTTAGAAAACCTAAGTTGTTAGAAAAATCAAGCTCACCTTCTTCAGAAAATCTTTCTAGGCAGAGAAGCTGAGAGCCTAACCCATTAGTTCTTTGCAGGTATCTGAAGTACAGCCATCTGAATGGTCAACCCAGAGCAGCCATTTGGGCGTTTTGTTACCTGATTGCTGTGTGCTACTTCATGAATCATCCAGAGGTAGAAACTACTCCTTTGTGCTATTAGGTAGCTGTGTGCATGGACAATTGACTACATTGGACAATATGTTTGTGTTTGTCTTTTGTTGAGTTATGTTTATCGAGGAGGTCCAGGACTTACAGCCTAAACAGGGGTTACAAATCAGGCTTTGTGGGTGTGGAGACCCTTTTTAAAGGGAAGCAGCTGGTACTTAGCTTTAGCTCATTTTTCCATTTTTGCTGTGTGTGGAAATGGGCCTTTATTTTTAAATTTGCCAGATCTTTAAATTTTTCCAGAGAAACTGAAAAGCCAGTTTTATATGATATTTCCTGTTGGCAAATAGTTAAAAATATATATTTAGGTCAGATAACCACATCTGCAGGCCTGCTTCAACCCAGAAATCACTATTTGTTATCACTGACCTTGATGGATTATAGCCAAGTCTTAGCTAGTTCTCATGTGTTACTGAAAGACTGCAAAGGGAATCCTGTTCGTTTTTAAAAGGTAGATTCTTCAGTGTTCTCTTGTCTTCTGATACATCACTAGGAAACGTTGGTGGGTTTTGACCTTCAGTAGAGGGTTAGAGGCAATCTGCAGGGAAGATGTTTTCATTGGAATCAGTGAAGGCAAAAGGATTGTCAACATTTTCTTCCTGTTTTACTGGGAACTGTGAGTCAATTCATCCACAGTCCCTTGCTCCACCTGCAGGGAGTTTGGGGCAACACCACCCTCTTACTGTGGATTTTACTCACTGGCAGAGTGAGATAATCCCTGTCCCTCCAACCACCCCCCTACCCCTGCCCCCGCCATGGGCGTGAGTGCCTCTGCCTTCTGGAGATGGATCTGATTAGGGCCTGAAAAAGATGGTGTGTAGCCAGGGTCTATCAGAGGGATGGTTGGCTATGGTTTGAAGGAGGCAGCATGGCAAAGATTTTTCTCCCAGTTTTTTTTGTTTGTTTGTTTGTTTGTTTGTTTTTGCAGTTTTTGGCCAGGGTTGGGTTTGAACCCACCACCTCTGGCTTATGGGGACGGCACCCTACTTCTTTGAGCCACAGGCGCCACCCAATTTTTCTCCCAGTTTTACAGCACTTTTCTACTAATTTGCTTTACACGTTTGTGAAGAAATGGGAGCTCACTGGTTTCACATTGGAGATTAAGAAATTTATAGTTTGAAGAAAGTCTCGTTCAACTAAGATTTTGTCCCAGACTTTGAACCAGCCCTGTGATGGCTGAGAATGTGCCATAAGTGGACTGTCCCCAGTGCTGGCTCACCAGCTGGCCTTCCCTTAGCAGCCTTGGAGCCTGAGCTTTCCTGTTCCTGAACACACTAGGCAGTGGCTTCTGGGGGTTGTGAAGAGCTTTGAGGCAGAGGCGGAGCACAGCTGTTTCTGGAGTTATCTTTTTAGTAGTTTCTTCTCCTTTTGAGCCCAGGTGCCTCTCACTCTGGCTTCTTCCCTTACAGTGGTTTGGAGGGTGCTACAGTTACCTCGAGGAGAAGGAAAGTCTCAGTGGGCTCCCTGAATATACTACTAGTTATTCTTAATGACAGGAGCAGGTGATTTCCCTGGGGGGTGGGTGTAATAGACAGCAAGATGTATAAGAATAAAAGAAATTAAATAAAATAGTCACTCATCCTAGCATGTTTCCCCTCATGCATACTCTAGCCTTTCATTCATTCAATTGTTAATAATCATCAATTACTAAATACCTTTTTGTTAATCACTAATCATTAAAAAATGAGATTCGGGTGATTTCTCATCCCTCCCCTTTCTTCTTGTTTCTGGTTTATTCTCCTCTCACCCCCCCCACCCCCATAGCCATACATTTATACTACAGCCTTAGGTAACTTTATGAGAAAACAAACAACAAACCCACTAGTAGATGAGTGGTGTCAAGCATACCTAAGAGGCCACAAGTGTTCTCTAGCTGGTGTTGGTAGTGGCCAAGTAGAGGTCCTGACCTCTGTCTGTGTGATGCTAAAATTACATTCTCCTCCTCCTCCTCCACTCCGTGGGGCTGCTTTAGTTGCTATAACAACTTGTTGCAGAGTGCTCAGTGTGAAGGCTGGCAGGGAGAAAGACTTTCGGGCATTCTTGTGCTAAGGAACAGGGCTTAACCCTGGAGCTTGACATATCCATGGCCCCAAGTTTTGATTTCTGAATTTGGGGAGGTTGGATTTTCCTGCATCAGAAGTGCATCTGGAGTGCTGGACTCTGGAATGAAAGTAGAACAGGCACAAGAGAGAAGTAGTGGTTAAGATTGGGTTTGGAGGCCAGGCACGTTGGCTCGCACCTGTAATCCTGGCACCCTGGGAGGCTGAGAGGTGGAAGGATTGTTTGAGCTCAGCAATTGGAGACCAGCCTGAGCAAGAGTAAGATCCTGTCCCTACTGGAAAAAAAAAAACAAAAAAACAAAAAAAAACACATTAGGTGGGTTGTGGTGGTGTATATGTGTAGTCCCAGCTCCTTGGGAGGCAAGAGGATCTACTGAGCCTAAGAGTTTGAGGTTGAGGTGAGATATGATACCATGGCACTCTACCTAGGGCAACAGAGTGAAAAAAAAAATGGGTCTAGAGGTAGAATGCAAATCTCACTTGTGCTGTAACTTGGGGAGGTTACTGAACCTTTCCACAGTGGCGGCCGATCTGTAAGATGGGATGGCAATAGGACTTACTTCCTAGAGTCATTATGAGAAAGAGATGAGTGAACTTACAGAAAGTGCTTAACACAGTGTCTGCTATACAGCTATTTGAACATGTGAGCATGTCTGGCATGTAGTCATTTGATACTAGCTATGAACGTGTGTATTAGATGCACACATATAGTTGATTCACTGTAAAAAGAGCTGAGAGCCGGCTCCGTCCCAGCACTGCATTCTGACTGGGACGTGGTGGAGAACAAGGCAGATGTGGCTGCTGTGCTCATGGCGTGCTAGGGAGAAGGACATCAGACAAAAAGATACAAGTAAGTGTGTAATTTCACATTCTGCTAGTGCTTGGAAAGGTTACCTTTGTAGCACATGGGACATGGAAAGCAAGCGGTGACCTTAATAAGGAGGGGGGTTCAGGAGATGATCTCACCACTGCCATCATCACCATCACTGACATTTACTCATCACTTTCCACGTGACAGGCACTCTGTTAAGCACTGTATGTGGCTTATCTCATTTAATTCTAATAACCATAGGAGTAAGGGGGGTTTTGTCCTTATTTTGTTATATAATCTTTGAGCCGAAAGAGGAAGTGTGAGCAATCACCTTATCTAGTCAGTCTCAATTTATCGATGGGGGTATTGAGTCCTGGAGAGGGACGGTGATTTGGTTAGAATCAGTCCATACTGAGTAGAGAACGAATTCCAGGATCCTAACTCTGTCCTTTATCTACTTAGCCACTCTGTAGCAGGCTCTCTGGAAGGTTGAAGAGCGTCTTGTGTCTGAGTAACTCTGAGAAACCCCACCCTCCCATCTTCAGTAGTTTTTCCCACGGAGGTCTGTTGCTGTTTTCTCAGGACAGAGAACTGCTTCCCCTTCCCTGTACTTGTTTCTCTAACTTTGGCTGCCCCCTTGAATGTGGAATGTGGAGGTGAAAGTTGTTTGAAAGTCACAGAGTGCCAGTGACTCATGTTCCCTGGCCTATTCTCACCTCTGGCCAGCTGGACTGTTCCAGCACCAGGGTTCTCCTTTTTGGGGTTGCTGATAAGGTTAGTGGAAAGAGATCTATGTGGGCAGTAGTAGGATTTGGAGCTCCAGCTCCAAGTCACTGTTATCCCTAAAGACAAAGAATTACGTGAGTCAATCTCTTGCTTGAACGCTTCTCAAGTTTGACGGAATAATTAATGTCTCCTCAGGCTTTTTTTTTTTTTTTTCTTTCTACTTGCTTCTCCACATTTACTTGTTCTTGAGTGTGAGCAGTTTTTTAAGCAAAACTCAGATGTAGAAACGGATGCATGTCAGTGAAGCGGGTATGCAGTGATTACGCCCATTCTATGAGGCATATGCAAGATAAATGGCCTTCTGACCGTTGTGAGAGCACAGCAGGGCTCCAGGTGATGGCCTCTTGGCTCTGAGTGTCCTGTGCCCATGCATTTGCACTCACTTCTTCTGCTAGCTCACAGCTCCCTTACGCAGTGAGGCTTCCCTGAGCATCCTGTCTAGAGAATCCCTGGGACCACCCTTGGGTGGGTTTATTTCCTTTGTAGCATCTGCAGCAGTCTATCATTATGCTGATTATTTGCTAGTATTTATTATAGTAGCTAATTGTGTTTCTCTTTTTACTAGAACATTCCTATCATCGAGTGTAGGGACCACTTGAGTCTTGTATTTGCAGTGCCGGAAGTGGAGACTAACACAGAGTGGTTGCTCCTTGTAAAGTTGTTAAATGAATAAAGAGATGTATCTGAACTTCCTTATCTGGCCAGAAAGTTTTTTTCCTCTTCTAGGCCTTGGAGTTGTAGAAAAATATCACTTTGGACTCCACACGAGGCAAAAGCCGGAATGATGCACCCCCTTAGTAAATTTGCTGCCGTCTGTCAGCCCAGTGCCAGCTTTTGCCGAGCCCCTCGCCTGCCTACCCACTTTCCTATGGAAGGAAAGTGACCGCCTGTATCAATAGGTCTCAAGTATGGGTGGAGAAAGTGGGCTTGGGAGGCAAATTTTCCTGGGCTCAACTCCCAGCTCTGTCACTCTCTGTGACTTTTTACAAGTTAACTCCCTTTGTCCAAGTTTTCTTATCTGTCTAATGAGGGATAAAAATAGGATCTCAGTGACTCAATGACTTGGGGAAGCAAGGCTTAATATGTGTAGTATTGTAATTATTTTTCACTTTGAAGGCAATAACATAGGCTAATAAAAAGAGGGAAAAAATTACTCATCATCGTGTTCCTTTAACTCTAGTACTTTCATTTAAGTATATTCCCTTCTGATCTTTGTCCCTAGGTAGACACACTGTATGTAGGATGTGCTAAGTCTCTATAATGCTATTATCACTCTTCTCTAGAAGATGAGCAATTTATAATATGACTAGTTACATTTCTTGGATCTGTACTTTAACTATCCCAAATCCTATCCTTGCTACTGCTTTTATTTTTGTTTTGCTGATATAAACGGTACCATAGTGAACACATTTGTAAAGATAACATCTTTGTGGG